GAGAGGTTGGTCGAGTATTGGATCTGTGAGGGGTTTATAAATGAAAGTGGAAAGAAAGAAGAAGCTGTGAACCAAGGTTATGCTATAATCGGTATCCTTGTTGATGCATGTTTGTTGATCAATCTTGAAGATATAGAGAGCATAACAATGCATGATGTGATTCGTCAAATGGCTCTGTGGATTGCGTCTAATTTTGGGGAAGAAAAAGATAATTTGTTGTGAAAAGTGGGCTGCATCAGATGCCAGAGGTCGAAAATTGGAATGCGGTTGAAGGATGTCATTGGAAAATAATCAGATTCAGACCATCTCAGTCATCCCAGATTGCCCTAACCTTACGACATTGATCTTACGACAGAACAAGTTGGTGAACATCTCAGGTGAATGTTTTCTGTCGATGCCTACGTTAGTGGTTTTGGATCTATCATGGAACAAGGATCTAAGCAGGTTGCCAGAAGAAGTTTCAAAGTTAGTGAGCTTGCGATATCTCGGCTTATCAGGAACAGCGCTAGAGGAGTTGCCGATGGGATTAAGAGAGTTAATCCAATTGAGACACTTGGATTTAGATAATATGAAAAAACTTCAAAGCATCAGTGTGGTATCAAGTTTATTAAATTTGGAAACACTGAATGTATTTGGCTCCATTCCTTTAAGCCTTGAGTCAATAGAGGAATTAAAATTACTAAAGAATTTGAAACTCGTGAGCGTAATGATCAGAAAACTTTCTGTTTTGGAATCGTTTTTGAGTAACCCGAGATTGGCTAGCTGTACTCAAGATCTAGAAATAGATCTAGGGAATTTGAAGCAGAAAGCGTTTCACTTGCAGCGACTGCAACTAGCCTCTTGATACAAGGAGGTTCAGTCTCATATTTAATGGAGGATACGAGGTATGGATGCAGAAGTCCAAGTACTGTAAGCTTCCAAAACCTTAAGAATGACTTAATGGGGGGGCGTAAGTGGTATACAAGACTTGACGTGGTTATTGTTTGCTCCAAGTCTTACATTTTTATCATTAAATGGGTTATCAGAGTTGCGAGAAATTATAAGCAGAGAAAAGGTCTCTCGTATAATCAACGAGGCATCCAGTATAGTAGTACCCTTTCAAAAACTACGTGCGCTTTTCTTATTCGAACTGGTGGAACTGACGAGTATCTACTGGGAACCTTTGGTCTTCCCGGATCTAACGAGCATCATCATACTTGGGTGTCCAAAGCTGAAAAAGCTTCCACTTAATAAAGAGAGCTCCAAAGGAAATCATCTTCAACCACTATCTACGGACAAAAGGTGGATAGATGGAATCGAGTGGGAAGATGAAGAAATTAAAGACCGGTTGCTCCATATGTATCAGGTAATAAGAAAAAAACATGAATATGATTTTCAAGGTCAATCTTACATCTCCTAACTTCACGCTTGTTTTGATATATATATATATTAACAGGTTGCGAGACAAGATAATCTTTCTTCAGTCAGAAACCTTGTCACATCCTCTTGTTCTATTATGATGGTGTGAAGAAACTTGAATCGTATGCACGATTGTGTGTTATTTTAACTTTCTCAAGTTTAAAGGTTGTTTAGTGTGCATGTAAGATTATTGATGTCTAAACTTTGTTGCTTCTATGTGTATTTATAGTTATCCACTAATGACAAAACCATGGTGTAAAATGACTCATACAAGATTTTGAATCTTTTAATCCCCATAACTTAAGATGTATGATTCTTACAAACAAGATATTACATTAAGCTATGTAGTGCAAACAAGATTATCATTTCTAGTGGGGTTGCATCATGTATGAAATAGTGTTGCATAAGCTTTAAGAATACCTAACCGTAATTATGTTTATTGATCATCAACGGATTTGTAGAGAGATATATCAATGTTTCTGATTCCATTTTTGTAACTGGGATTGATT